TTGGACTGTCTGTACTCCAGACACCTCCCTTGCCTTTCCCAGTTATATACACTGGCCCCTCCTTCCCTGCTCACTCCTATAACCCGCTCCCCGTAAGTGCAGGTGTCTCCCCGCTCCCATCTCCTTCATCCTCATTCTATCCTCAATAAACCCACATGGATGACAGCAGCAGCTCGAGAGTCCTCCTGTCTTTTGGTGGAGACTTTATTACGCTATCCTGGCACCTGTGGTCTAGGCAGCAGCAGGCTGACCTGCCAAACAAGGCTCAGGTCACCCACATAATTCTCCCAAAAAGATGCTGCTGATGCTGCTCCCTAAGAGATAAAGGCAGAAGCATACACTTTCCATTTATTTACAGGCACCAAACATGTACTTCTTATATCATACTTCAATTGTAGTTGATCATTGTTTTAACACAGACAAATCTGTTTCTTAATATTCTTTAATTTCCTTATTTCCTTTTCTTAAAACTGAAGACAGGGATGACTGTAGCTCCTTATACAATAGCAACTGCTTTTGAAAAATTTCTTTTGAGACACACAACAAAATTTTACAGATGCGACAAATAGTTAAATAACAATAGATATCTTGGAAAAAATGCTTATCAAGTTAGAATATTAAGTATAGAAAGTATTTATTTTATATTTGTTCTGATAAAACTGTAATCACATTCATGATTCTTTCTTTCAAAGGGATTATTTTTGTTCTCTTTTTAAAATTCAGCTACTGCTGTATGCCAGAATCTGAAGTGGATTTTGTATCATCACTCTTGAAACTCTTGAATTCCACAAAATGAAAACTGATGTGATTTTTACTGCCTGATTGCCAGCTATGTATTTAAAAGACACTTATTCCTTTGACAAAAGGCTTCCCTATCACATTCAGAACAGCAAAGCATTGCATGTTGTGAGACTGAATCTCTGTGAGGTTCTGCAGACAGCAAGCAACCTACTGACCTCACAGCACAACTGAGAAAGTCAACATTGCCTCAGTCACCAGCACAATGAGCCCTCAGAGACAGAGCTGGCTTCTTCACCAAGTCAAAGGTCCTGCATAGCACACCTCCATTAAGACTCTTTTGCCGCATCCTTGTTTTTGAAACACATCTCTAGGAAAATGCCATTAACACATTAATATTTTCCAACATGAATAAGTTTAGTATTTTCCAATAAGCTGCCCTCAGATTCATGTCAACAGTAGAGAAAGGGCACTCAACAGAGAACACATGTGAACACTTTGAGCCCTAGAGGAGTAAACTATGCCTTACTCCTACACACTATTTAATTAATAATACAGGATGCTGTCCAATACTTGTATTATTTCTTCCTTCCAACTTGCATGAATCCCAGAATGGTTTGGGTTAAAAGTGACCTCAAAGGTTCACCTAGTTATGAGCCTGCTGCCATAGGCAGGTCACCTTCCAGCGGACTGGGCTGCTCAAAGCCCCATCCAGCCTGCCTTAAACACTTTCAGGAATGGAGCATCCACAGCTTCTCTGGGCAACCCAGTGCCTCATCGCCCTCACAATAAGGGTGAGGTGAAAAATCTAATCAAAACCTACTCTCAGTTTTCAGCCATTTCCCCATGTCCTATCACTACAGTTTCTGATGAACAGTCCCTCTCTGGCTTCCCTGCAGGCCCTTTTGGAGACTGGAAGATTGAGGTCAGGTCTCCACACAACATTCTCTTTTCTAGGCTGAACAGCCACAACTTTCTCAGCCTGTCCTCATAGGGGAAGTGCTCCACTCTTATCAACCTTCTGGCCTCTGGATTTGCTCCTGAAGTATCAGGTCCTTCTTATATTGAGGGCCCCACAACAGGATGCAGCACTCCAGTTAGGGTCTCATCAGCACAGAGAGTACAACATCACTGTTCTTGACAGTTACCACAAAAGCACATAGGGAAATCATTAATTTCTTGGAAAGAATATTCCTACTTTGTAACATAAATGAGAAATAGTATTTCACTTCTTTAGTGGAAGATTCATGAGAGGTTTTTTTGGGTTTTTTTAAGTAAAAGAAAGAATGTAGAACACCTTTCAAAATGCAATTTTCCTGCAGCTTTCAGTAAATATAATACCCTTCTCTGCTTTCTTTTTTTTTTCCTTTTAAATGAGACATACAGTTTCTTTCTATCGAAGACCCACTGAAATATTTACCAAGTATGGGGCCATTAAACAATGCAACTATTTCCAAAACACAAAACACATGCAGGTGAAAAATAAAGATACCACAGATTCACATTTTAAAAAAAGAAACCTCAAATTTCAGTGGCAATATAAAATGCATCAGGCCTTATTTTCAGTGATGAGAAAGCATGCCATGCCACTCAATGTAATACCTTTTCAAAAGAGACTAAAATTGGCCTGCTTATTTCAAGAAATAAGTAGAGAAGTCATATGAGCGGATTCAAAGACAAATCCATTCAGATGAATTTTCAGAACAGAACAGTTAATGTTTCATACTAAAACTGTATGCTGGGAGGAAGGCACCATTTAAGCAGCTCCCCCCTTGAATTGCATACAATTCAGATTAGCAATGAAACAAACAAAAGCATCAGGCTATAACTGGTTTTATATCTACCCAGACTTCCTAAATTACTGGGACAAAACCTCTTTTGGTATGCAGGAAAAGGCCCACAATTAGGCCCTGGAACACTTCATAATCCAGTTTCAAAGATAGACTATTTTTTTTTTTTTTTATTGCAGTAAGGCTATTGTATGCTGCCTGTTATATAAAATTCACCTTACCAATACAGAAAACAAAATCTAGCATTCAGAGCAGCTTCCATAAGAATCATCTCAAAACTTCTATTTCAAAGTTTGCATAAGTTTTTTAGATAAAAGAATAAAAGCTTTGCAAAGGACAGAACAGACCCCATCAGTTCTGAAAATAAAATAGATAGTTTGGTTTTTTTTCATTCTGTCTGTAATTTCTAATGCACAAAGCTATCTATACAACTTATTATCCTGGGGTTTTATGTGAAAATTCTTAATTTTTACTTAAATTATATAGCAAACTACTGTAGACAAAGCTCTATCATCATATTAAAAGATGTATTGACATATTTCTTAGTGGTCCTTAACTAAAATGGACCCCATATCTCCTTTGCATATTCCTCAGAGAAGGAGGAAAAAAAATCTGTACGAGAAGAAATACTTTTTCAGAGATAAAAAGATAAAACATTTTCTGCTTTTCTACATTCACCAGGATAATGCAATGAATGCTAAGAAGAGTTTGATTTCATATCTTTACTCATTTACATACTGAGAAAGCTTAATTAATTTTTTTCTTATCTCATTAGCCAAGGAAAGAGGTGGAGTGGGACAAACAGAGATTACTCAGCACATACTGTAAGTGATGTAAATTACTATTAGACACACACACATACCCTCGTAGGAGGTGCACAGTTCTAAGAAGCTTGTAAACCAGCAAAGCAGCAGCTAAGACTCTTTCCAGGGGAGTCCTATGACTGACCATAAACCGTGATCTTCATGAAGCACCACTTAGTTTCATGAGGGCAGACTCAACTAAGACTTCTAATTATTCCCTAATTATTTTAATTGACATATGAACCACACATGTACATGAAAGGCTTGGTTTCCCCATGTGAACATTTAAATACAAAACATACTGACTGCTGAAGAAAGGCATTTCCCTCATAACTGCGTAATAAATCTCCCAGTGCTTTGTTATTCTAATCCCTGTGTTATTTGAGGTCTCCACTCCAAAGGATGGCTTTCAATGGCTTTAACTCGCTGCTGCACAAACAGCTGCAACACCAGTTTCCTTTAATGTTCCACCACTACAGATGGTGAAATGCATACCTGGCAAACAACTCCCACAGCAGCTTGTCAGTGAAAAAGATGAACCTACAGAAAGAACCTCTCATGCCTTTCTGTAAAGAGCAGCTGTGGAAACCAGAGCCTAAAATAACAGAGCTGCTCCCTGACAGATTTCTTTGAGAATTAGGTTTATTCAGTTTTTAACCTCTGTGAACTACTAAAGTTCCTCTGTAAGAAAGGCATAGCAGCATTTCTAGCAAGAAAAACTTAACTAGTTCCTACTGCATTTGAAGTCCATTATTTCTGAAGGTGTCCACATAACATTAAAAATTTAAAAATATAGCACATAAAATCACAGAACCTACTACTGTGCAATCACTGATTGTGCAGTTGTTACTAAGTGAAAACAAAATCAGTATTTATCACAATGAATTATGTAGAAGAGACAGAAGGTAACAAAAAATGGGTTAAAGAGGAAGAGACTGCAGTGGATTAGCCTCTGGAAAAAAAGTGCATAAATTACAGCCAGTGTTTTCCCTTCTTAAAAGCATTTGCCCATTATATTTAACATCTGGTCTTAAGTTAGAAAATCATTTAAAAAAATAGTTTCTACTCAAGCAATACTGAACAGCTTAAGATTTTGTCCAAGAAGCTGAATTTTGTGTTCTCTACAAGTATTCAATCTATGATACAATAAATTACAGTCTAATACAGTATTATTTCATTACTCTAATAACAAACAACAATGAAGTCATACTTGCACTTTCACACCCATTCAGTGCAGTCAAGGTTTATACATGTCCTGGTAGCAGATAGTAAGATTTTCCCTGCTAGAAAAGAACTGCAGATGGACAAACAAGATGACCGGGACCTGCGTAGCCTGGATACGCACAGGATTTACACCAGCAGGAAAGAGACGGGAGAGAACAAGAATGCTGAGTGCAGCTCTGGCTCAGCCAGAGAATGCCACAGGCTCCAGGCTGGAGCCTGGAACAGTAACATACTTCTAACACAATTTAAATCAACCCCGCAGAGGAAAGTCTATCAAAGTATTGTTCCCCACTTTTCCCTGAGGAAAATGGTCTACCTGTCAACTATATAACTCATAAACAACATGACTGAAATATCTAGGGCACAGGCCTGTAGAAGAAAAACAGCATCTACAAAACTAAGTCCCGTTGGCTGAAAATTTTACAGCATTGGACCATTTGGCATATAGTTTCATGACATTTAATTCCAGAATAAAGTTTGAATTATTGAAGTAACAGAAAAACAAAAATCACAGAAATTCAGGTTGAAAATAAAGCTACAGCATATGAGACATAACCTGACAACAACAGAACACCAACATTTGAAATAGAAATAAACAGTTATATGCAAACTATAGAAGAAAATATCCCCATTTTGAAGATGAAGTTTTAACTAAAAACACATATCTTGACCTGACACCTCCAAATATAAACCAAATATGTAAATGCTTTCAGCCATTCCTTTAGCATTATGTACTTACAGTGTAGTGTATTTCTTCAATTTGTACCTCTTCTCTAGCTAAAAAGTTCCTCAAAATATTACTATATAGTACTGTGACATAGATTATGATCTTTTATTAACCAGCTCTATTACCTTAGAGATAATAAATTTGGTCATTACACTTTGGTAAATTTCAACAGCAATTTTGTTTTTCTCAAGTCCAGTTTGGGGTATTTCATAAAACTATACAGATACACACTAATAAAAAAGTCACTTTAATATATTTATTACACAGATTGAACATACAAATTGTATATTACAATACGCTACAGGTATGCATAGAATTTGTATAGTTTGAAATTTTTCTCTTAAGAGTTTGAACATGCTAACTGTAAATGTGCTTTTTTTCCCTGTGCTTTATTTAATAGAGGAAGAGTAGAAACTCTACTACAATAAACACATGAAACACTGTATTCTGATTCCCCAAGATTTCTTGGCTTCATGATCTGACTAAGAATGCTTGCTTCACAATAGCTGCGGAATTTCTACAGGAACTTACATCATGAAGTATGGAAAAATAAATTAAAATGTACTTTATACTGCATGTATACTTGAGAATAGGTGAACGATTACAACAAACAGGGACTTAGTTTAATAAACTTACCCATGTTAGATTGAAATTACTTATAATGAAATAATCAATAAATTTCAAAACATTCAGTAAGCAAATGTTGATGCAGAACCCGAATTGAGTCATTTTCCACAGTTCTATTAAGCAGTTGATTTTAATTGGTGGAGGTATTTTTACGGAATCAAGTTCTTGATTTCTTGACCTTTCATATCACAGTTAACACCAAACCAAATGAGATAAATTACAATGATGAATGTTCAAACAAGATGACCTGTGCCTGACTTTCTGATACTGTTCGCTTGAGCAGCCTTATTTGGTCCAGTTCTGAATGTTCCATGGATTTCCGAGTTAGAGACTGCACTGAGTCAGTTATGTTGTATCTGCCAGGCTGGTAAAAGCCATAATATTCTATACTCTTTTCCCCGGAGTTTTCCAGCACCTTTAGTTTTTGCCTAAACTGAATAATTTTACAGATTAAGAACAGGATAACAGCACAAGCCAGAATGAAAAAGGCTAGTAAAATATCAAAAGCTTGATTCAGCTTTTTAACCTGTTGTGTACAAATCAGGGTTGTTTTTAATGACACAGGAGCAGGATCTGTTGCAAACAACCATTCTTCTTCTACATTTCTATTAGTAGGTATAATTTCTGCTGTTATTTGCACTGGTAATGTTGCTGCCTGTGATGGCACTTCAACAGCATATTGCTGATAAAGCAATGGGGTAGAAGATGTAGCTGTAGTTCCTTCCCAGAAAGCAATATACTTCGTTTCTGCAGTGACAAACTGTTCCAATGTATTGCGCCTGTTCCCTTTATGCCAGGCCATCAGCAGAGTGGTAGCAGAGTGATGCATCCCGACAGATCCCAGACTCGGGGCAGAGCCCGGGCTGGCAGTGGGGCCAATGCAGTTTGAAAACCAAGCCCATTTCATATAATGCAAAGGTCTACCACGCATACTCTGGGGATTCTGACAGTGAATTTTTGCAGAAACAGAAGATGATGCTAGCCAATTCAGTAACGCAAGCATTTTACAGCTGCAGTTCCAAGGATTAGAATGTACCTGCAGATGAGTTAAAGATACTAAGGGCTTGAGAACTTCAGGTTGTAACTCTGTGATTTTATTAAATGCTAAATTGAGTACTTTAAGTGACTGCCCCATTTTTTCAAAGGTACCATTGCCAATACTGGCTATTTTATTTCTGTCTAGCTGTAGATACATTAAATTGTTCAATAAGGTAAAAGTGCTAGCATTTATATTTTCTAAATCATTATAACTTAAGATTAGCTGGCTAAGGTTGTTTAACCCAAAAAATCCATTTACAGCAACACATTTTAGCTTGACATTTTTCAAAGACAGGTATTTAAGCTTATTAAGTCCCTTAAATGCAAAAGGCTGAATTGATCCAATGGGATTGTGAGACAAAGAAAGTCTTTCAAGATTTTTGAGCCTTCCAATAGCATTTGATGGCACATGTGGTAAGTTGTTACCTTCAAGAAACAAATAAGCGAGATTTTCAAGATGATGAAATGCTGCATCTGATATCCGTGAAATCTTATTATTTGCCAGGTTTAGTGTTTGGAGACTTATCATTCCCCAGAAAGTCCCACTTCCAAGGACACTGAGACAATTTCTTTGAAGAGTTAAATATCTAACAGAAAGAAGATCACTAAATAATCCTCTGGGAAGAAAAGCTATTTGATTATTCTGAAGGTATAAACAATGAAGATTGGAAAGCCCTTCAAAGATTCCTGGATCCAGGCGTTTAATATTATTGCTATTTAGATGCAAGTAGCACAATTTGGGGAGTTCCACAAAAGCTTTTGGGTGTACATACAAAATACTGGAGTTATCCATGTAGAGTGCAGCAAGCTTCAGAAAACCTCTTAGATGATTTGGAGTGACATGTGATATATTATTTCCACTGAGGTAAACAATAATTGTTGTTTTTGGAAGGTTCCAAGGGATGCTTGAAAGCCCTGCATTACGACAGCTAACTTGTCTCCCTGTGCAGAGCTGACAAGCAGATGGACAGCCAAAAGCCTCCTTCTGGAGCAGCAACAAAAGAAAACAATTAAATATATACAGGAATGCTCCTGGGCAGGGTGAAGAACTTTGCAGAACACACATATCCCTGTCTTTGGCCTTCTTACTCCTCTCTGACTTCACTAGTAGAGATAAAAAGAAGTATATAAATATTATTTCAAATATATTTATTAAATATATTATTAATAATTACTTTAATCTATGTGTATAATTATAAAAATATTAGCATTGCTCTCAAGATTGGTATTTTACATATTATTCTTTCATGCCAAAGAAGCAGTTTTGAATTCCAACTTACTAACTGGACGCCACCGCAAAAAAAAATTTCTAAGTAAATAGACAATTATGTAACTATACTGCTAACACAGCCTCAAAATATTTAAATGGCTGTAGCATAGAAGTATCTAAGCTGCCAAAATAGCTTTTATTAATTTAAAAATACTATATATTCTGTACTTCTTACAGTTAACCATTACTAAGAAATGTTTTAAAACCATCCAAGTAGAAGTGCCAACTGTAAACAAGTTACATTTTACTGACAAATCACTTACAACTTGCATTTTATTTTATTAAACTGAGTTACATTTAAAATAAACAGAAGCATTTCCTTACCCCAAATCTGAAGTTCATTATTTCTGTTATTTTGCTGCTTGCAGTCCGCTAGACTATAAGCTGACCAACTACACTCCTCTGTGAAACCTTTGTAAAGGCAGTGTTGCTGAATACTACAGCATTCACATTTTTGCACTAGGGTTTCCAACAGTTTGCTCAGGAAACTAAGAAAGAAGTGCCTGAAGTCAGGTTGCCATGGATACAGGAAACCCTGGGACAGGAAGCCATTTTATCTGTACTTCAGAAGTATTGTCGGAAAGGAAATCTCAATGATTTGTTTCTAGAAAACCAAGAACTATCCTAGTCTGTAACTGCTAGGTTTTGTTGTTTGGGTTTTTTTGTTTTGGTTTGGTGTTTTTGGGTTTTTTTTTTGTTTTGTTTCTTTTGTTTTGTTTTGTTTTATTTGTAATTCACTGATTTAACTAGGAGAGGTTAAAAGAGTTCTATCTTAGTTAGGTTTAACTTTCAGAATAAAGCACAACAATTTGTAACAACACTATTGCATTACCTTATCTTTCAGCCAGAACCTGAAATGCTTCATTAAACTGGTAGCAAAACTTACACTGTTCTCTGTCTACAGAGCCAAACTGCTGCCACATGCACACACGTTCCAATGGTCTGGCTGAGAGGGAAAAGATACACACTGTGGATGGAAGAACCCAGTGTCTTCTGCCCTCTGACAAGACACAACCTGCCAGGAATCCCAGAGAAACCCTTGAAATCTTAGGACATGAGACCCACATGATGTGGCACTAAGCTGCTATGTACTCGTATTTCTGACCTGACCCAAGCACTTTGTTAAGTCTCACTGTAAACCACCCTTTTAAAACCAAATTTATCCACAGAGGACTATGAGATGGTTTCCGGTTCTGAGAGCCACACCTTTCATGCACAGCTTTCAGTTCCTGCAGTGTCCCCTGTGCAGAAAATGACTACATGGGCTATAAATATCCCTCTTGCTTAAGGACCAGAGATTACACCCTCAGTTTATCCATCACAGAGAAGAAATACAAGAAAAGCTCAGTCACATTATCAAAGAGAGAAAGGGGAGATTAAGCCTACAAATAGCAATGTAACTAAAACCCCATGAGTTTATTGTAACGAGACCTTCTGCTCAGCAAAAGAAAGATGGCAAAGCCCACCAGTAGCCATAGCCAAAAAGGAGGCACAACAGTAGGAGAATCAAGTCCCTTCAGCTACAGTGATCTCACACAGGAAGCATGAGTTCACATAAGGGGTGAAATGTAACCCAATTGTCTTTGTCTATATAATCCAATCTGAAATGCATGCATGAGAAAGGGAAGCAGAATAGACAAGGACATGTTTTTGAAGAAGCTTTCTTCCAAATACCTAGTCTAAAATAAGAAATCAGTAAGTAAATTTGGTCCATGGGCCATTTTAGACAAAGCCTGTTTCAGTTACAGCCCAGAATTAAAACTGTTTGTTTCTTTTTGTCTAAGACCAATAGATCAAGAGGAAAACTAATTCTTCTTCAGATTCGAATATTTATTTTTTCACTTTTTTTCACAGTATTTAGCATAATTGTTGACATAGAGAAAGTAAAATAAAATGTCATGTCATTTATTGTATCATCCACAGGACTGGTGAAGTATCCTGGATATGTGGGAACAATACAGTAAGAGTAACAGAGAAAGATTATCAACAGAGTCAGATGAGGGACTACCCAAAAATGGAAAGTGACTTCAAACAGGAAATTACCTTCTACCTAGACTTCACTGCCTATAGTCTCTTTATATATAAACCTATATGTGTAAAAAAAGCCCAAACAAAATAAAATTATTCTTCCAAGGTATGCTGTATGAAACAACCCTTTATAGCTACAAGAAGTAAGTAAAAATTTTAAAAAAAGTTTTAAAAGGCAAATGTTCATACAGATCTTTTTGCAAAATGTCAGAGGTAACACATTTTGAAAAACTAAAGGAATTAATGAAGCTCTATGGTATATCAGATAGCATGAAAATTTAGAGGAGCCAGTAGAGCAGTGACCAGATAAAAGAAAGCTGATGAGCAGTAAGTGGCTAAATGTCTCTGTGATCTTGCACTGAAAGTACCGTATGAATATTCACAAAATTTTTGCTTGAACCCTAGCTCCACTGTGGTTCTGACCACACTGACTACTCTTCTAACAGTTGAATCCCATGCCCAAAATGGGGGGGGGGGCGGGGGGGAAATCTTAATCCAGGTCGTACTCCTTCCATTCTGCACTAGCAAATCTAGTGAAGTCCTGCTTTACGCTTTGTCAGTACTGCACCCGAAGGCCTGCAGATCTGATTGCAATGTAATTTAGAGTTATTACTTCATTTATACTACATATTGTTAAAGTATTTGAAAGCTGTATCTGTTAAGAACAAGACACAAAATTATGCAGCACATAACTTTTAACATTTTGGGGAAAACCATAAAAAAGGCTGGGTGGAAACTTGTAACTTGGATCAGCATTACTCAAAGTGGCTCATACTTAAGCAATAAAATCCATACTTTTTGAAAACTGCATGAAAAAACCCAGGAAAAACCAACAAGCTTAGTCTGCTTTCATATTTCATTCACTGCAATTTTTCTTCTGCAGAAAGAGAACTACTAGGTGTGTACTTACATATAGCTTCACAGGGTAACAGAAAATTATTTTTGAACCCACAAGTGAATTTTATCTTAATATATTAATATTGATGAAGTTCCTAATGCTACTGGCTTTTTAACATTAAAATCTAGTTCAACTATGACTCGTTGTAAAATACAAGCACGAAGCCTGAGTAAACAGCAATTTGTCAAATTATGCATAAAATAACAAGTCAAAGTAATGGAAAGAATATACATGCACTTCACCCGTGTTATATTAAGCCAATATATGAATATTAGGTGACAAACTAATCATCCAAATCCCACTTATGCAGAGCAGAAAACATGCAACAGGTTCAAAAATAGGGTCTAAAGTCAATTTTTGAGAAAGAATTTCATTCTCATAATTACTACAAAATTCTGTTAAAGCCCACAAATGAGGGCAACCAATTTTTAGCAGTGTAATTATTTTTTTAAGCTTGTAAGAGTGAAACTATAATGCCCTCCCATTATGTATGTAGCAACCATCTGCTCTTGCAGGGCTTCCTTCCTTCTACTTTTATTCTCCACAAGTAGGCTATTGTACAACTTTATTTTTTCAAATACCTACTTCCTTCAGCCCACATCATCTCTAGATATGACCACAAATCAAAGCAATTCAGGAACTAAACTACTGCTTAGGTAGCACAGACAACAACATTTAATTAACATCCAATAGGCAAGTGAACTGTTGACACCTTATTAACTTATCAGATCCCAAACCACTTTTCTGTTTATCTTATTATCTAGTTTACCAAAATATTTCTTTTTGTCTCAACTATTGCAGATTTCTTCTAGTATTTAGCATTTCTGTTTCAGTAAGAATCCTGACTTGCTGCTCCATTTACCAAAAATTTGTCTCTACCACAGCGTGAAAACTATGTAACTATTTTTCCCATTGAGGATATAAAAATAAGTTTCCATTCCATAAATCTAATTTGACCTTAGACTCCAGTAAAATAATATAACAGAAAGCTCTTGCAAAACTAAAGGCTTACTTTGAGAAATTAGTTTATTCTCTTTATTCAGAAATCTGTGTCTTCTGTGGAGCAACCATGAAGTTTGTGAACAAAACAGTAATATAAAAAGGTTGGCCATAAATGTAACATGCAGATGTGATATACTGATAACAACAACATAGCTTTAGCCTTTACTTTTCACTGCAATAATTAGCAATGCTCTTCTATCTATAAAAGCATTTATGTACTCAATATGAATGTAATTCAAACCAAAAAACTCAAATTAATTCCCCAAATTTCAACTTCTAGAAATTTAATCAAAACTAAACTCAATTCCAAAACCACACTCTGCCTGCTAGTTTAGGAGACAGGACAGGTATATACTTGGTATTAATAACTGATAGCTCAAAATATTCAACAGACAGAGAAAAACGTCAACAGTTCCTAACAGCTACTACAGAGAATACCCACACACAAAATACAGAAACTATTCCTTAAAAATACAAGCTTTCTTTATACTAGGGCATTTTTTTAATAACAAAACCTCATGTTTTGTTTTAAATACTCACTTTCTTCTCATTAAATTGTTTTAATATGAAACATTACTTTTCAAGACAGAACTTATTTGAAGAAGGTCTTGTAGTGACATGGGTTGTGGTGTTTATCACTTCTGGCATCTTACCATAATAGTCTGGCACTCTTGAAGAAAGTCACTGAAAAATCTCAGCTATTCTCTGGCAGTCTTAAATTTGACAGAGTACAGCACAGAGAGGAGATGCACCAAAATGGCTCAAAGAAACACAGGTGCAAAACCAGCTGTAAATCCATGGTTTGGGTGTGGGATTTTTTTAACTTTTCTTACAGTCTTGTGATATTTACACAATTTTAGTTATAGGCTACACTTCAGCCACTACTTATCGAGCATCTGCAAACGTAAATTTGCAAACGTAAACCATACATTGCAAAGAGTTTGAAGGAAGCTAGTGGTTTATTATCTTTTGCTTTTATGTAATTAAAATCTTAAATTTTAGGGTAAACTGTAATTAGAATAGTTCTAGGAAAGACTTCTGAAATATTCTATATAGGCCATAAACAAAAGCAAGATATCAGTTTATTTTTTTTGCAGCAGTTTAGCTGCAATTAGTAACATAATTTCTTGCTATCACTTGGTACATTTTTCTTTGAAATCAAGGCTTAAGGGTCCTAGGGGAAAGGATAATATCCTTCTGACCAGTCCTCAAGAGCAATCAACTGTAGGAGAAAAATTGATGTAGACTGCGAACAAGGAAAGTTTAATGAGTGCATCCTTTTGCCAATACCATAATGTGACATGCAATTAAAGAAGTTGGCAGTGCTCTGTGTAACCTTCTGAATTATGCAGACTCTGATAGTCAGACTAAGACCAAAGCCACATTTTTCATTCTTATCATTAAAACTGCACTGTTACCTGTCAGGCAAGCTAAATAAATCCAAGGCCAAACACTGATGACAACTGCAAAATCATAATTTAAAGAGCTCCTTTAAATGCTAATAGTCTATTAGAGGCGTGGGTGAGCATTCGTTTAGCTAGAGGGATTAAAAAAATGGAGAGGAAGATAAAATAGCTTCAGAGTATCATCCCTATTAAAAAAAGGAGGATGTACAAGTAATTATGTAAGAAATTCTGACTTTATAAATGAGGACATAACTATCCTGAGGAGAACATGACATTTTATTAGGCACTTTCTTGCCATTTAACTAACATTACATATAAACAACTTTTTGAGAGGAAAATTAAAATTTCTAATTAAGTAATTTTAACAAATGACAGAGGCAAAGCTCTATAATAACCTAATGAAGATTTATAATTGCATACTGTAAGTGCTTACACTCAAAAAATGCCAATTATCTAACTGGCAGAACTCATACTGGCAGACATATCAGACTTGATACACAATGAGGAAAAGCAGACATTAATTTGCATAATTATTAGAAACTTGGGGAACCTCTTAACCCCTTCCCCACAATACATAAAGATACTTAACTCAAATGGATAAAATGAAAACTACTCATGTACCAGCAACCAAAATGAAGAAAGATAAATTAAAATTCATAACTTAAAATAACTTCATGTTTTAAGGTCAGTAAAGTCCCCTCTACTTCAGAATGGTACCACTCTACACAGGTAGTTCCATCAAAAATGAGCC